AAAAAAAAAAAAGATTATTTTTATGCTCTGTTTTTTAATTTTTTTCAATTAGTTTTTCGTTATTTCAATATATTTAAGTAGGGGCTTTATGGAGACAGATAAAATGCATTCAAACATTCCATTTCTAGCTATAGTTGAATTATGCTTGGATAAATTAGATTCTCCTTTAGCAGAGTATTAAGTGTTTTGTAACAGTTCTACATTTTATGGCAGCCTGCGTTTACTCATTCAGTGTCTGATCAACAGGGGATTCCACCTTTGACAGAGTTCAGGTAGGGACCACAAAAACTAAATATTAATTGAATCTTTTATTAAATATATGTGCAGCTATGTGGACTGAGAAGCCCAAAAAGTGCACAGGAGTTCTCACAGTGGTAAGGAAAGCAACCTTTCAATTAGCCATCTGCACGCAGACATACCTTTCATTAAACTGACATGTGTAAATCACGATTCAGACACTCAAAATTAGTTTCCACAAAGCCCAGTGCCACACACTCCTTGAAGAACAGAGCAAATGTTTAATGAACGGAGAATGTTACATGTCTATGTTAACAGCATAGCTTCTCTGTTTCTAACCAACCTTTTCTTTAGTTAAGGCCTTGATCATCCGAGCTGTGATGTGCCTGTCTGATTGGCCAATGCCATCTTCTAAGTGGCTCCTGCTTGGCATTTCTTTCGGTTCTTTATGAATAGGCATGGCTCTTCCAACCACACACATGAGTGTTGTCTCCAGAGGACCCAGTTTTGAGTATTCCTTAAGAAGAAAGAATATTATTCTTCTGCAATTACATAGAAAACAGCTGTTCCTCAAAAAAAAACCCCAGCAACTTGCTTTTTTATAATCAACTGCAAAGATGCTGCCCTGGGGTTGCTGTTTGGTAATGTCGGTGTTTACAAGCCAGCTCATTTTAGGAGGCTGCAGCCCTACTGCCCTCTTCTTTTCCTGTGTGTTTTCACCTTTAACACTTTCTCTACAAACCGAATTCTGCTCCCAAGTTCAGTTCTGTGAGAATAATTCAACTAATCCAACAGCTCCCTACTGCCAAAAGAGAAAGGTCCAAGTCTAGCCATATGCTTCCACCATGCCTGTGCTAGCTCTGATCTTCTCCAAACTTCTGAGGCAATTTGGTTGACTAACCCAACAGGAAACTAATTCAGGAGGACAAAAAAAGGCAAGCTTTTCTGCTGAGTTAGTGAAGTGAATCACCTACAGAAAAGGCCAGTGTGCACTACAGTTTCCCTAAGGGCAGGAGCAGCACCAGACAGCAAAGGCCAGGGAGAGGGAAGAAGGAACCCTACTGTGCATCCTCTTGAATCACCTCTGTTCAGTAAATCCTTTCATAACAGTTGCCAATGCAACTCCACTGTTTGTGATTATCCCCTTGTTGTTATAAAGTACAAGAATGTCAGCAGCACCTGTGTCCCTCAGTGGGGTGGGCTCTGCAGTGCTAACGGCAGAAGAAAGAAGTAAAGCTAGTGCTGCTCTCCCAAAGCAACAGCTGCAAGGAAACAAACACCTGGACAGATTTTTTGTTGTTAAATGTTCAGCTTTTCTGTGTACTGACTCTTCAGAACCCCTCCTTAAGTTAGTCTCTGATCAAGGCAACAGGATGATTTCTCTGAGCACGAGTTGCAGGGTATTAAACTGATGACAATTTTCTAGAAAAGAGTTGTTGGTGTTTGTTTTTTTTTAAACTCTTCATTGAGTATGTTTGAACAGAATACTCAAGAGTAAAAAGAAATATTATAGAGAAGTATCTTCACACAGCAAGCCCTGCAGTCTGCACCACATCTGTATCATCTTCCTTAATTTGCAGTAGAAATTGGTGATGTAGAGCAATATATTTTTCAAGAGCAATTCATTTATTTAGAAATTTATTCAAGTTTTTGTAACTCAAGAGCGTAGTATCAAAAGCACTCAGGAAATATCTTTTTGCAACCTAAGATCAAGTATCTCCTGAAGCAGGTGCCACTGCCTCTGTCGAGAACCACGCAAACTCTGCCTATTTACATTTTTACTTTCTCAGCCCCTGTATTTTGTACACAGGAATACCTTCATCTTGGCTTTCTGTTGAGGGAATATATTACTTGTTGATCCTTTAATACTGCTATGTAACATAAATTATAAAGGACCAGCATCCAAGCAAACAAGTCTGTGCAGTACCATAGAAAACTGTCACTAGGTGACATAAGGAATTCTTTCTAGGGGGAGTTTCATCCTGACATTCACATATGCCGATTCTTATGACACCTTATCAATTGCCAAAACAACGTGTCTCATGCTATCAGAAATGCCCTGAGGCATCCAAAATATCCACGAGAGGCAGGCCTGTATGACAGCACCTATCTTCTTTTGGCCCAGCATCTGAAGGACAGCACGTGTCCTAACCATTGGAGTTTTTTTCTGCCATAACACCGCTGGGAACAGAACACTCCTGGTAGTAGCTCACGCTCCATAGTGAAATATGTTTGTGTGAGTGAAAGACCCAATTACTTCAACTCATACCTGGAAATCTTTTTCATCTTCATACAACAAGCTACCAAGAGTTGGAGTGAAGGACTTTTCCCACAGCTCCTCATCACTGTCTTGAGGCTTCTCATTCTCCGCTTTAGACTGAGTTTTTGGAAAGGCTTTTTTTTCCTGACAAGGGACTATGGCACTTCTGAGGCTTTCATCTCCATCTGTCTTTGCTTTTTAAAAAGAAGAACAGTCACGGGTATGTAATTGTTAAGCTTTATAAAGATCAGAATCAGGACCTGATATAAGCATTGCCTGCAATCTTTAATGCGGCTTGGCCACTGCGATGTAAAGAACAGCTTGGTAGGATTTTTAATTGGCAGTCCAAGCCAAATGTTGATTTTGCTAATTGATTTTCCTGTGTTTATTTCTGTTCACAATTTCTGATCAAGATCACAGACTGAAATTGATTGGAAGATAGAAGTAACGGGTCTGTGGGACGGGGCAGGGGAAAAAATGAGCTTTTATCAGTTCAACTTAAATCCTAAAAAAATAGGAAAGGCAGCAAAAAAAAGTATAATTTTTTTCTGTATCCATGTATGTATCTCTGTATGCACATTTATATATAAGTTCCTGAAACACTGCTAGTCTAGAGCTCACATTTGCAACTGACAAATCTCAGGATGACAGACAGTTCTGGACACGGACTGCCAAGTTATAGGTTTGCCTGGGACAGTGATTGACCCCAGCTTATTGGAACAAAAGCTGCTCCTCCCAGTAACTATTGTAAAGGTCTAGCAAAGGTAATAAGCCGAACTGTTCAAAGTGAACATGTATCTAATTCAGAAGTCTTAGTCAACATGTTTGCTGATGGTTCCAGAAAGGCCTGCCTACAGCTGGAACGGATCAGCACTTCAACAGACTTCCTCATGTATTCATAACTGTATGGCTTCAGTTTTTGGAACTTACCTCTTTGATTTAATTTTGTCCTTTTTTTCCCCCTCTTCCTTCTACTCATACAGTCTAAACACCAATTTCAATTTTAAAACTGTATTACAGGTAGATTGTGGTTTTGTCTTTTAACGCAAACAACAGTCTATCATCACTGTGGTGGCTGCAATTAAGTAGGAAATTAAGTGTTCACCACGTAAAACAAGCAGTTTGATAAAAAAACTTAAGAAATAAAAAGTATTTAAACATTGTCAATTCTTATAAGCTGCTGGCATGTGCATTACCTGCATCCTCTCTATACTCTGTTTCTTTCATTTCACCCTTAGGAAATTCATCTCGCAAGCCAGCTGCTTGGGTAAGAAACAAATGCCTAAGAAATTAAAAAAATAAAGTGAAACTCATATTAGAAGTCTGAATTTTTGCTGCTCTTGTTTATTCTTAGCGCCTAAGTTCAACTATGTCCATGAGACTAAAAGAAAACAAATGCTATAGTCTCCAGTCAGTCCAAGATCCAAACCACAGCTGGCAGCTCTCACTTAAAAGCAGTCCAAATTTTGAAGAGAAAAACGGTCAGTTCTTAAGACTTGGAACTTTTGTATGCAATATGGCTGAAATCACTGAGCTGGGACTGGAAAATGAAGATGAATCATTCTGTTTGTTACACTGGGCTTTTGATACCTTTATTGTTGATATTTTGCAGCTAAATTAATCTTTCTCTAGGGAACAAGTTAAATCATTTCAATACAAAATAAATTAATACTATAGATACCTGTACAGACAGACCTATCCCAAGGCCTCTTCCTTACTCTGTACCAGGTCATCTGTTTCGCTTGAGATTGCAAAACTCCATATGTTTGCATATTAATCTTCACATCCTTAAACATTTTGCCAACAATAAAAGAAAAATCTATCACTCAGCATTTGGTCTGAGAAGCTGAGTCTGAGGCAATTGCAACAGAAAGAAACAATTTCCAAGCCCCAATGGTATCCCCATTGAAAGAAAGTGAGTGTTGCTGGCTCTTAAGACTATTAAAGAACCCAATTTCTTCCCTGAATTTTGGTATTTAGGAGGTTACAATGTCACTGCCATCCTTCAGAGATACAAGTCCCACATATATTCAGTCAAATCCTGCCTCCTCTTAACTGGGAAACTACCTTAGCTTTGCTGTGGGAGAGCCCACATAGCTCTAGAGACAGGAGAAGGCATTATCCTTAAAAAAATAAAAGAATAATAATTAAAAAAAATCACTTTTGAGTCTGTAAATGCATCATTTTACCTGGGTACTCTCAGATTCTGAAGTCTGCTATCAATGAGTTTTGTCACTAAATAGATATTTTCTTCTTCCAGGAGCTGAACAGAGGCTTTCAAATCACTTACTTCCTTTTGGTACATCTTAACCTTTTTGCCAATTAGAAAGGGGGAAAAAAAAAAAAAGTATCAGCTTAGAAAGACTATACCCATTTTGGAAAGCTTTCATGGTAACTATCTTAATAGCACATACCTAGAAAGAATGCAGGTGTGTCAGCGAGACTATGCATCTGGTGGAGAAACATAGTGACACATTTTCAAGCAAAGGGAAGGCCTTTTGGTTCTTTTACACCTTTTTTAGAACCCTTTACTGGCACAACACTGTCAATCACAGCCAATTTGGGCTATGCAGCCTTGATAGCAGGACCTTCTCCTGTAGCCAAACAGGTCTGATAGACAGAAGGTCTGGATTTTTCTTTTTTGCTTTCAGAGATAAAAACCTTCTTTGCAGAGTTAAATTCAGGCTCTTGCTCAGCAAGTGTTGCTTTTCTAATTCCTGCCTGTACACAAAATCTTCTTACCCAGAATTCGTGAAGCTTTCAGTCCAAGTTAGCCACAGCACTGGTTAAACCCCAAGTTCTCCCTTTTTTTGGGCTGGTAATCACCCCTTATTGCCATGAAGTTATATTAACCAGAGGATACCAGTTATTCACTTCCCACAATTCTTCTCACTTTTTCTGAAGTACAAGCAAGCTCTTACCCCTTCACTGGGAAGTGGAATATACTATGGGACAGATACTTTCCCAGAAATCTTAGCCATATGCACATGTTTAGAAACAGTACCTAGTGTTCTGAATGCATCTGTTCTCACCAAAGCCAAATCAACTCAGCTATAATCATCCAAATTTGCAGTCAAAAACTAGTTCCCATTTCTCCCAGGGATTAAAAAAGCTGAAAATGGCAGGACATTAACATGCAACAGGATGTGGCTTGGCACGATGAGGTAATGCAGCTTTGCACCATCTTGGTGTGACATAGTAACCATGGAAAAATGTGACTGAAGTCTCCAAATCTGTTCAAATTTGGAGGTAACTAGTTTAGGGTTGTTTTGGTCATTTTTCAGTTCAGCAGCCAAACTGAAAAAAATATAAATTCTTAACTAGGAGAAAATGGAAATTTTTGGTTTATCTTCCTAAAAGAAAATATTGGAAGAGCCTGTCAGCTACATATAAGCATTAGTCTGAAAAAAAAAATTAATCTGTATAAGAAAAATGGAGAAAATGAATGGGTTAATTCAGAGGACTGGAGAAGCTAGTGATAATAGTTTTCTTTTCCACAATAATTCAAAGCACTAATTTGTAACATAAGAAACTAATTCGTAACATAAGAAACTTCCAGTTAAGAGGAAAGAAACCCACACCCCTCGACTCTCAGGAGAAGGCCTGTCAGGACATAAAAGTGGATCTCCCCTGTTGATATTGCCTCGTGTGTAAAATCTGTAAGTGTTCAGTGAGATGGGGAAAAGGGAAGGTAATTTGTACTCATTTGGTGATAGGATGTATAGATTCGAGCTCCTGATCGTTTATACAGTTTAAAGCATTAATTCTCTCCTATTGACCCCTACCTCATTGCCTTAGAAGCTGTGGTTTGGACACCCTCCCTGGAAAGTCAAAAGATGTAGGCTCAGAGCTCATTAAGGGGAAGAAGAAAAGCTGTATCCCTGCATACTGGCAAGTATCTTAAACTAGCAAGTAAAATGCAGAAATCTCTGTCAGGTTTGTTGATGTGGCACTGAAAAAAAAAATAAGTTCATTTATTAATTTCCAAAAAAAATCTTTCTCAGTTCTAAACTGTGAGATTGTAAAGGTGGGGAAGGGTATTTCCTCCCTCCAATCTCTTCCTTAGATTTGATCACAGCAAAGAATCTGTATTGATTGGAACAAACACAATCAAACTTTCAGTGTGGAAAAATCAGTTTCCTAAATTTGGCTCACAAAGATGTTTCTTGACAAGAAAAGTTACAACTATCTAGCATATAACTCTAAATTGCCATTAAAGGACAGTATAAAAGCTACCAAGTAACCCATTACAACTATATATTATTTTGATTTTTCTCTCTTCAGTGTACTAATCTACAGGGTTTCTTTATATCATCTCCCATTTAAAGCTGTCTCAAGTCTTCTTTTCAAAAATGTTTCAAACATCCATATCTATTTTCTGCCAAACAGCAGCATTAGAACTTTAATGCAGTTCAAAACTACACTCTTCAGACACTGACATGGTCGAGTCTTTACACTATATAGTATCCCAGTCTCCACAGATATAAATACTTAATTGTACAGAGTGTTGTAGTCCTTCATATAACTGGGGCAAGAAAAGGGAGGTCCTTCATTTGTGAAAGCAGATGTTCACCTTTCAGCTTTATTCACCACATACTCTGTTTGCTACCCAGGATTACAGATCAATTACAGGAAAACTGCTTTCCTCTTCCTAGGAAAGTCTTCTGAGGCCCATCACTGGAAGCAGTTATTACTGTAGGCAATGGTATTTCAAACCTGAACTCCCATGATAAACTGTATGCAAGTGGTCCTCTTACCTCTTCTTTTAACCATTCATTCTCTTGAATTTCTCTGCGACTGTGTTTGTTTAAGTATCTTACAGCATTCTGAGAAAACACAAATTAAGATTACTTCATCTGAAAACAGGACTTTGACAGTGCTGTACACTATAAAGAAGAACCTTCTGCTGTTTAGCAGGAAGTAATTAAGAAACATCCACACTGTAGCATCTCCTGAAGGATTACGAGAGGATTTAGTTCACAAGACTAGCTGTTTCTTCTCCATCTTTCTGCCTAGTGCAGTTTATATGTCAAGCAATTTACCAATATTTTACAATTTCCCATATTAAAATAGGACATTTTGGTTTTGCCTAACAAGTTGCATGTTCCCACTACTGCTCAAATCTTCCTGTTTTCAGGAAATCAAACCTTTAGCTATTAAAAAACCCAAACAAAATCCTAAATGAGGCAGTACCGATGAAGTACTGACAAGTGACTTCAACATGTAGAGGCCTATGCTAATGATCCAAGGCTACAATTTAATTATTGATGTCAGCAAGAAGAAAGGAACAACTGGGAGGGAAGATACCCCTGTGGATCACCTTAAACACAGTCCTTTGGATTATGTTCTTACATGACTGAAAATTCCAGCACTAAAGTCAGGGAATTTAAATACCTAATAGGCCCAACCAGTGGTTTGTACTGAAGTATGCTTTATATTTTGTGAGTGTAAAAAGTTGTCATCATAAGTACTTTGTAAATGTTTGCAAATCACAGAGATGGCAAAAAAATCTGTATATCAATAAGCCTGAACTTTACTGTAGTATTTTGACATTTAAAAAATGTTGTACAAGTACAAAACAACTTTCTTTTTTCCCAAATTGATGTATATTTCCATGCAGACAATCTCTTAGTGTGTTATTGTTTTTTGAAGTCTATGCAAACGTCAAAATCAAGGTCACAGCAAAAGTGACATGTCCTTGAACAAGTCATTTCAGTACATGGTGCCCCAGTTTCCCATACTTCGTTTGTGAACTGCCCTCACATCTACTCATTGTTAGTCTGATTTAAAAAAAAAAAAAGGTACATGTGTGTATAACAATAAGCAATGCCATGTTTAGTAACAAGATTAACAGGATTTACTCCCAATTTACTACAAAAGTTCCAAGACTTAATTCAAGTTAAGATAATTATTAATGCAGAGTTCACTAATTCGAACTATGATGCAGGAAGCACTTTTAAAAAAGGCAGAAGGAATACCTCAGGGGCCTGTTCTGTACTTAATTTCATGTGCTTCTCAACCAGCCCGTCATTTTCTTCTTTCAGTGCTTTCAAAGCTTTTCTATAATATTCTTCAAAGCAAACAAACAAAATCAGAAATCATTATCTGACATCAATTTCTCCTGATAACAAATAGATAATTGGCATGTTGTTCCTAAACTGGAACTTACCAGCCAGCATCACATGTATAGATGCTCCACAGAAAAGGATTCAATCATCCTTGTCCATAGAAATTGTCCTCCTAAACCCAAAGGACAGCAGTATTAACTACAAAACTAGAAATCTGAAGTGGCTTACACATTTATGTTGGCAACTACAACAGCTTATAAACTGAGCAATTCTCTAAAATATTGGTATCATAACACTGAATTTTGTCTCTATAAATAGCAGAGCTCCTGGAGTCATGAAAGGGACTTGCTTATAAAACTCATTTGTTAGGTAGAGAAGCATATTGGATCATCTTATGCACATGGCATTTTTACAGAGCCTAAAAATTTTCTGACTTATCTAAGCCTTCCAGGATTCTAATTTGACAACAGGTCAAAATGGAGAATGTAGCAATTGCCTCAAAGACTTGCTTTCATCATTACTTGTGGTCATTATTTAGAAAGTGTGTCTTAGGTCTAGCTGAATTTGTCTGGCTTCAAGTTCTAGTCACTTGCTATTTAATTATTGCATCCTTCCCTTCAGTTATTTTTGTGCTATTCTAAGTAGCCCAGTGCTGCTTGGTATTTTCTCCTTTTGAAGGAATTAATGAGATTGCAATAATGTTCTTTGAAGGAAGGCACTCCATACTTGTTCCATAGGCTTGAAATTCAGCCTAGATCTTCACTTGTGTTGCAGACAGCCTATTGCTGATCTTTCTGTATGTGAGAATCTGGGCACAGACCCACTGTGGAGTCAAAGGCAGTCAAATATGAAAGGTGCATTAGTTGTGCATTAGTTGTGCATTAGTTCTTAATTTAAGACTGTGGAAGCTGGCCTGCCTTAACCAATCCACCATTTAGATTTGGCAGAAGGAAATGGAAGTACTTACATACTATAATTAATTCATCTTTTCATTCTTTCAGACAGCTAAATAACCTGAGTTTTACTGGGAGAAGGAAGAAAAGGAAGAACCGTTCAGACATACTGGTTCTAAGGAGGTTATTTTCCCTAACTCATGGCAACACTGTTTTCCCCAGACCTCACATTAGTGTATCGCTCTTTTGCTTCATCTCCCCTGCAGCAATTGTGTTTAAAATGTCATCCCCAGACCACATGTACTACGCCAGCACCAAGACCTTCAGTGGTACCCACAGTGACGGAAACCTTTCCTCCTGTGCTTATTGCCTAAGCTTGTTATACATTCCAGGAGTGAACAAGCCCAATATGCTGCAGCATCACACTGGAACCTTGTTAGATTTTTTTTTTTTTTGGGGGGGGGGGGATGTCCTAAGTGCTTGTATATTGTACTGCCCAGACACTTTATAAGTTCAGTTTTAGGAAGTTGAGTGAAATAGTATGCTAACATCCAGTACTGGCAGCATCAATTCGCATTAATTAGGCAACTGCTATATGTACCACTGTAGCAGTCTTTCTATAAATACACTTCCGCTGACCATAAATTTTTGGCTCTGTACCCTGTGGCATGCAGGAGGTCAGACTGAATGTTCCTACTGGCTCAGTCTGGCATTCTATATAAAAGTCAATTCTCTTTTTCATTTCCTATTTCAGCAGTTGTATAACAAAGTTTGAAATTTATTAAGAACACAGAAAATGCATAATGAAAAGTATCAATGGCTCTTGAATACAGAAATGGATATATGACAAGCTAGCTGGCAATATAGAAAACACACTGCAGATCATAATCGAAATAAAATATGTTTCAAGAGACAAAAAGATAGCTAGCTGTCTCTATCCACAGTAGTTGATGCCTGTCAGTGGTTGGCACACAATATACAGAGACCCTTAGAGCAGTGTCACTGCCTGTTACTACCAGCTGCTTGGCTGTGGTCATGCATACTGAGAGGGACATAAAAGGGAGAAAACCAGCACATCCTTCTCCTGTTAGAAGCATAGGTTATGTAACAGTAAAATATTTAAATGATTTTAAAAGAATGCAGTAGTAAAGAAATCTTTGTAAAGCAGTCAATACCAGAACACATAAGCTCTCAAATTAATTCCATAATCAGTATCAAAACGGTTCCCAGTATTTGTATACGTCTGCACTGGCAATTTTTCTGGGCCTCATACACGAGACTATGCACCTAGGAGGTAAAGTTCAGACTACTGGCTAACCAGCTCCCTCTAGTTCTGCATTCAAACCAGTATGTTCAATTCAAAAGACTCTTCCAAGAATGAGCTCATACTACTTTCCTGTCAAAGGACTTCTCAACGTGTGAAGTGCTTGCATCATGACAAGAAGCAACAACAGCAGAGTCAACATTTTCAAGTATGACTGCTAAGGGAGTCCTGTGTGTAGGCGACCTAAATATATGTAGACTTATTTTTAGAAAACTGCTGTCCTTCACAATAACATTTTTTAAAAAATAGGTCACGTGTATTTTACAAGAAAATCATCAGAAGACAAGCTTATCAGTTTCCTTCAGCGTTCATAATTTCTGTAACTTTATCAATTTCCTTAACAAAGGGACTTCTACAGAGATACAGAATTCTTCCATTTTACAGGATTGTGCAGCCCACCTTAGGTGCAGTCTTGAAAAAGTTGATAGAAATGACTAGAACTTGACGTCAAATTAAATTTATGATTTAATTAATTCCTGCAAGTAATACACAAAGAGCTTATAAAAACTGCATTACTCTAGCTGTAAACTGACCTGAAGCTCTGTGAAAGTCATCTTTGACTTCCTTAATGTCTTTTGTCAGATTCAAAATCTTCTCAGCCTCTACTTTACTGCCTACATTTTTGTACTCCAACCAATAATCTCTCTCAGTCTGCTTTTCTTTAAATCTTTGTTCAGTTTCTTCAATCTGGGAGTTCAGATCTGTTAAAGTAAGAACAGCAGAAAACAAGTTCATTACCAATTTCTTGAGCTGATAGTTCAGAATTCTTACAACTTCATCAACCTCTTTAATAAAGGCACTTTCACTGGGATTGGAGAAAGAAGGGTGATTCTTCTACACTACAATACATTACAACATGATGGCCTCACATCGTGTCAAGGGCCACCATCATTGCTGAAAACAGCTGGATCTTATTCTGCCATGGAGAGACAACAGTTCTCACTGAAATGTTGTAACTAAAGGCACATGCGTCTCCCATTGAGGACTGCAGGGATGACAGCCAGAACTTTCAACAATCAAAACTGGTCATTTTTGCTGCCATCAAATTTTTTTTTTTTTTAAATCTTCCAGTGGCGCCAGTGCATAGGCCTTTCATGAGTTTCAACTGAATAGAAAAAATGAAGCCTATGTACTTGCACAGTAATATACAACACTTGGAAGGAACAGATTTATTAATAAGCCCTCCACAATCTCATACCATGTTTACAGAGGTTAATTTTGGGGAGGAAAAGCTTTATGCTTTTTATGAAACAGGGAAGTTGAATCTCTATTTAAAATGCAAAAAAAAGTACTCAATCCCAGCGGTGTAAACTGCAAACCACACTTCCACAACTCACAACATACCTTCCAGAAGTTGTTCTTTGTCCTTAACATACTGCCATGTTGCTTTCAGTGACTCTTCTACATCATCCCTAGTTACAACCTCCTTTTGATTTTTTTCTTTCTCCTCTTCTTCTAAGTGTTCTAGTAGGTGCCTGAGGTGTGCCTGCTGTTCTTTCTTCAGAAGGTCATTCTGTGGAAGAACAAGAGAAGCAAATGCATGTATTAAAACATTTTCAAATTACTTTTTAAAGTTACAAACTGAAGTAATGAAGAAAAGTAAAATCTGACCTAGTGCCAGGATGCACTGCAAAAACACTCAGCTAAACACCTATTCTTCATATTGAAAAAAGGATGGAGTGGGAGGGAGTTTGCAAATCTTGGAAGTTTCTCAGTAACTTCAAGACCATCACAAGGAAATGAGAGACAAATCACTGCTGTACTTGGTGCAGCATACGAACAGTCCTCCATTGCCTGGAAAGAAAGTTCCTTGTGGGTCAATTTAAAAACAATGTTTATTTGTAGGAGTTATTTACTTCAACACTCTTCATGACAATTTACCACCTTCATGTAGAAATGTCCTCAATCAGGTCACTTGCATATAACAACAGTCTTGTCAGAGCTGGAATTAGTTACACCTACTGATTCCACAACTGTGATTATATCCCCTTGCCATGACCCTCTGAAGTGACGCTGAAATTATTTGAAATTACTGATCGTGTATGTTTCCTCCCAAAGGATAACCACACTAGCCAAACTGTAACAGTAACTATGCAGCAGAGAAAGTCTCAAACATTCCCCACTTCTAGAAGGATTAACTCTAAACACTCAGAAACTTTAAGCAGGGAACAAAGAATGGAGCTCAGAGAACTGTCAAAACATGGGTAAATTAAACAAAGCATGCCTGGAGTGCCTCACACAATCTAAAATACGAAGGAGTCCTTGAGAAACCATGAATTAGCAGCAAACTGGGGGAATAACCATAAGGGACTTCAGATGTCTGCAGAAAGAAGAGCCAAATGCCATTTCCATTGATAGTTAAGGCCACAAATGAAACACAATTCAGGCTTCAAAACTGAAAGGAACACCAAGGAAAGCTAAAGAACGGACAGAGACGCTGTTTGTTTCCCTGTTTCACTGCTATAAGAAGTGCAGGCTGCAACATTGTATAATCACATCATTCAGTTTACAGATTTTTGAGATATTTGGTGACTACATATATCCACTTTAAAAGTTCACTGCTCTCAGTCATCAGATGCCATATTACAGTTCTTTACATACAGTTCTTAATATTCCGTTCATCTATACGGTTCTTTGAAGTGTCACGCCAGTGCAATCAGTAGTTACATAACCTTGTTCTAAAAATGATGCAACACAACTCTTAATCCACAAGAAAGCAAGTCTTCATCAAGCAGTGCTAAAAATTGCACCTAGACATTTGTGTGATGTTCCTTCTCCTTCTGGTGATCCCAGACAGCCAACACAGCTTCACCAAAGGCAGATCTTGCCTGACCAATCTGGTGGCCTTCTATGATGGGGTGACGGCATTAGTGGACAAAGGAAGGGCAATGGATGTAATCTACCTGGACTTGAGCAAAGCCTTTGACATGGTCCCTCACCACATCCTCCTCTCTAAACTGGAGAGGTATGGATTTGAAAGATGGACTGTTCAATGGATAAAGAATTGGTTGGCTAGTCGCAGCCCAAGGGTTGTGATCAACAGCTCTATGTCTGGATGGAGGCCAGTCACCAGTGGTGTCCCTCAAGGGTCTGTCTTAGGACTGGTGCTCTTCAACATCTTTATCAATGACATAGATGAGGGAATCGAGTGCACCCTCAGCAAATTTGCAGACAACACCAAGCTGAGTGGTGCAGTTGATACAACAGAGGGAAGGGATGCCATCCAGAGGCACATGGACAGGTTGGAGAAGTGGGCCCATAAGAACCTAACGAGGTTCAACAAGTGCGAGCTGCTGCACTTGGGCCAGGGCAATCCCAGGTACTTGTATAGACTGGGAGAAGAATTCCTTACATGCAGCCCTGCGGAGAAGGACTTGGGGGTCCTGGTGAACAAGAAGCTGGACATGAGCCAGCAGTGTGCACTTGCAGCCCGAAGGCCAACTATGTCCTCTGTACTCTGGTCTTGTGAGACCCCATCTGGAGTAGTGTGTCCAGGCCTGGGGTCCCCAGCACAAGAAAGATGTGGAGCTCTTTGAATGGGTCCAGAGGAGGGCCACAAAGATGATCAGAGGGCTGGAGCACCTCTCCTGTGAAGAAAGGTTGAGGGAACTGGGCTTGTTTAGCTTGGAGAAGAGAAGGCTCCAGGGAGACCTCACTGCGGCCTTCCAGTGCTTGAAGGGAGCCTATAAACAGGAGGGGGCGTGACTATTTACAGGGGTTGATAATGACAGGATGAGGGGGAATAGTTTTAAACTAAGAGAGGGGAGATTTAGGTTAGACATTTGGTGGAAATTTTTTCACTCAGAGGGTGATGAGGCACTGTAACAGGTTGCCCAGAGAAGTTGTGGATATCCCATCCCTAGAGGCATTCAAGTCCAGGCTGGATGGAGCCCTGGGCAGCCTGCTCTAGTGGTTGGCAACCCTGCCCACAGCAGGGGGGTTGAAACTGGATGATCTTTAAGGTCCTTTTCAACCCAGGCCATTCTATGATTCTGTGTTGCAGGGGGAGGTTGGAGTAGGTGACCTCTAAAGGTCCCTTCCAACCCGTACTATTCTATGATTCTAAGTTTGCAAGAATAACTAAACTCTCATAGGTGCCCATGCAATTCCATTATCTCAGAAGTGAATCAAAGAAGGTCAGCAAAACTCTGTTAGATCTGCTAATATTACTGACAAAAATTAAGTTAATACAGTTTTTTCTTCTTTATGCCGAAAATGTATTCTTGAATGCTTTGAGGAATATTTGAAGGATTGTTTAAAAAGTCACATCTGAATGTACTGCAGTAAAGTTATCTACTGAAACGGGGCTCGCTGTCCTATGTTTCCTGCAGAGTAAGATTAAATAGTGAAGCTTTTACTGAAAATCTCACATGCATTGGAACACACCTTCACTGCACTCACTTTACCTTACTGCTGTCTCCTGTTCTGCAACATTCTACTCCTGCAGCTCCTTTTCTTGCATGGTTATATTTAGGACAGTTATGCTTTAAGTCACATTTAATTCAGATAACACTAACTTTTAAGCACATAAAGTGACTCACTAACTCTATTTTCATTGACCGTAAGAAATTCACTGCAATTACTAATTTGGATTACATGAATAGAATTGAATCTGTGACTTAAAATACAATATATAAAATGTGTTAGGAGAAGGATGCATGGTCACTTACTCTTTCATGATATTCTTTGTTCTTTTTTCCCACTTGTTTCAGACTAAGCAAAACACGATCAATTTCGTCTTCTTTTGTCTCAGTTCTGTGGAGAAAGAGTAAAGAAAGAGAATTTCTTATAAAAACAGGAGAGAGGGGAATGTTATTTAAGCTAAATTAGATGTAAGAACTACTGAAATGTTTATTTTCATATCATATTGCTTGACTCATTTGGGTAGATACCACTGTCCGCTTACTACACTTAAAGAAATTATTTCCCATATACATCTGGAACTTCATTATAGTTTGGATCTCACACTCCTACTGAGAAACAGGCTCCCTGATTATATTGTTGCTTGATAACCACTAGTGATGATTAAGCTGGTTTATTCTTTCTGGATGTGGTTTAGCTGACCTATTGCACAGGTCTCTTTTAGGACAAGATTATTTGTGCTCCAGAAATACTTATTACTCACCCCTCACCATAGAGGAAGCCTAGACAACTCAGACATAGGTCAGATGAATCTCAAAATGGAGAATTAAATGGAATTCAACTCTTCTGAAAATATGGTTTGATGAGCTTCATAAACTGCATTTGTACACCAAGAACTTGTTAGCCTTTGAGAAGTGCTAAGTAGTAGTTGTTTCAGCCAGTTTCAGTAGTGCAGACCGAGTAGTTTCCTCCCTTCCAACCCTAAACATTCTATGATTTTATGACACATTTTGTCAAATAACTAGCTCACTACTTTCACAATTTTCATAGAATACTTGTCATCCTCTTTGCCTTAGCTGTAAAATAAGGATTTTTTTCCAGTGTTCTCTCTTCTAGAATGAGAAACGTTGTGTTGCAAGTAGTGTCTATTTGCAAAATTCTCTGTAATCTTTCTCTTCCCGGAATTCATTCACCACACAGCACAATAGAGGCAAGTATTACAATTATCACAATATCCTTTACTGTTTCAACAGCTATTGTTCCTTGAGTGGTTTGGTTTTGTTTTTGGTTTGGGGTTTTTTTGCCCCTCCCTATTGTATTACATTGTTTTAAAATAAGAACTTTTTTTCCTGGCTCAGTTTAGATCACTCAGTCATGCAAATTGCAGGTTACTATATTTGCATCCTCTGGTGTCTATGTGCTCCAAGGTATTCTTCAGGTTTTCCATTAAGTACAAGGACATTAGTTAGGGAGTCAGTGGTATGGTGGTGATGGCTACAGCAAAAATATCTCCCTTATTAGACAGAAGTGACAGCTTGGCCACATATTGTGACATCCTAAATTACCTGCCATTTTAAACCATTTATATATTTTGAATACTGAATGCTGATCTGAAGCTAGAGTCTCTATCTGTCATTTTGTTAATGTCAAACATTTATATGAATAGAATTTGTTACTTTGTCTGCTACATATTGGAACTTTCCTCTTTAGATTATTTTTCTATGGTATTTGTCAGATTCAAAAAGCTACAAAACAGCTAAATTGATGATTCCTTTGACACTATTTTTCTCAACTCTGTGTACTAGGTTTCACCTAGATATATTATTATCTAGAAACAACACTTAAAAACAATACCATGACAACAGTATTGTCAGTCATCTCTAGGATGATTCTAGGGCAAGTAATTCATGGGATTGTTGTCCCTAACCAATCCTGAAAGAGAAAACTGCTTTTCCCTTTCATTTTCTGTCTCTTTGATAAAAGTCACAGAGCTTAATTCTTCTCCTTTCAATCATCTACTCAAGACACTGGAGATCAAATAAACTAGACTAATTCATAACTACTTTTGATATTCCCCTCTTAGTTCTTATTTTTCTCTGCTTAAGAGACCTTACTTAATGGAGTTATCCCTCCATTATTTTAAAAATAAAACACTTTTCTTTGTGCTCCACTCTCAGCTGCACCAAAGGAGCAAACTGTAGGTCTTTAGGTGTTGGCTAGTGACTACATACCTCTGTGAACACCAAGAAATCCTAAAAAATACAGTCAAATGTGATCTTGCAAGTTCAGAGTATGTTGATCAAAAACTTGCTACTTACAAATTTTTTTTTAAATCTTTTTCCCAAGTTACAACAGCATAAAGTTACTTCTGACCTACTTAAATGCTTTCTTATGAGTATAGCTTAAAAAGTGTAGGTTTCTAAAATAGCCTTGAAAACCTAAAACAAGAACACAGAAGACCACAACTTCCACAGTCAATCAGCTCAGGCTCTGAATCAGATAAATTGTCTTTGTTATCTGCTTTATCCATTCACATAGTCTATATGAGTGAAAAGTTAAATACACTAAACCTACTGAAATTCTAGTAAGGATACTGGAAAAACTGATTCAGGTTCTGTAAGTTGCTCTTCTGGTTTCTCCTCTTTATTCTTGTCTTCCATGGTTTTGGTTGTATTTGGGCTAGAAGTTAGATCTAAAAGGAGGAAAGGGAAAAAAAGAAAAAAAAAAAAAGAAAAAGAAGAAAAAAAAAAGATACATTAATGATTTACAAAATGTGGTATGTTCACCAGCCTTTGTCACTCATGACAGGTTCTTAACAGTCCTGAAATAAACAAAATATGATGTTTTGTTGACAACAATCCTGCCCAGGTTAGGATCAGGCCCATGTTTTTGGGACATCTTGAAGTGTTGTCCTGCATAATATATGTTTGTGAACAGTGGCCTCTATCACTAGTTACTTATTGCATCCCTTACTCTGGGCTGTGTTTTACATTCTTGCAAATCAAACAAGCAGTTACCCCTTTTCCCGTCCTTTGTTTCTTTATCAGGCTTGTTTTATCCAGTCCACTTGTTAATATGCATCTCTCTCCTTCTCCTTCTGTTCTCCTCGCACTATGAATATTTGCCTTTCACTACAACTCTGATATCAGTTTTCATTGTCAGAGCTGGAACAAAACCACTCTCTCAAGGGCTGTGCATGTCAGCAGTATTCCCTGGGTGTGTTGTCACAACTACCAACCTCAGAATTCAACTGACAATGAGTAGTTCTGTAATTGCACTGATAGCATATATTATATAAAATAAAAAAAAGTCATAAGGGCACTTATGAAGATTTCTCACTTTTAGCGGTCACATAGTCAAATGCCAAGAACAGATTAGTTCATACAACATAGGAGGTTTTATTACTGAATGAGTAGAAACATTGTATGTAACCTGCTTTCATACTAAATTTATTTTCTGAATTTAAGTTCTGAATTCTCACAATTATCACTTTAATAGCTATAATTGGTACCAGCTTTTTCTGTGACTAAATACAGCAGGCTGGATTCTTTTCCTATTAAAACAAGCACAACAAAACAGGAAAAAAACATTAAAAAACCCCAAAACAAACAACAAACCCACAGTGGAAAGCCACATAGCAAGCCTGCCAAACTGATGTAAAATCAAGGGAATTAAGTTAAATGAAATATTGGCAGACGCACTCTAATCCATATGCTGGCACATGCCTTCTTGCTGCACTCACCATATCCTGAAGCAAGGCAATGTCAGCTTTCTGCACACAAAATAACTTTCTATCCTAAATGAGTAGTTGATGCCTGCTGATCAAACAAGTGAGGGTGCTGAGGGCAGGCAGTGCACTGTGTATTGCAGAAAGGCATGTAAAACGAATGCTCACTGTGTGGAAACTCTACAAAGTAAATGAAAGAAAGGGTAAACATACCTCACAGTCTATGTCCCCACACAGCTCCTTAGCTCTTGGAATATCTTTTTCATAATGTTTTAACCAGAAAAATTTTACTCCCACTCTGTTGGAAACCTGCTTGTGCACATTTAAAAAAGAAAGACCAAGTGAATTAAGAAAAAAATCTCCCTGAGACTGCAAATTAAGTACTTAGCTCCCCCAGATGCCTTTGAAATTTCCAGCCCAAATGCACAAGAGCAGGATACATTTTTAAAGTACAAGCAAAGAATCTGTCATCTTTCTTCAGTGCAGAATTAACCGGGGTGGTATTGATTTAACATTTGAGCATTTATTTTACTGATTTTCCCCAGAAATTGAACATCACTGCAGCAATCCCTAACTTTTTAATGATCTGTTTCCCTTCCACTAAAGGGATAATCAAATCCCCTGCTTAAAACTGGATACAAACTGAAACATTTTGAGTACCAGTACTTTGAAAAGGTTTAGTTTGGTTTGGGTTTTTTTTTGTTGTTTTTTTTTTTTTTTTTGAACTCCAGCCCAGGAGAACTCCAGTGATATATTTATGAAATTCTTCCTGTACAGAGAGCAACAAGAAAGCCTCCAAGCTGCACAAAAAGGTAAAAACAAAACAAAAACAAAACTGTAATAACAGATTTGCTGCATTTTGCAAACCATAGAAAATTCACACACATGAGAGAGAAGTAAACATATTTAGGGGAACTGAGAATTTACTGCAGATTTGAAACCATCAGGAAAACATTTGCAGAGGGCAAGATTTATTTATTTTCCCAAACAAATAAATCACGAGGCATAACTCTTGACAGACCTCCATGATCGCTACCAGCACTTTCTCAATCCATAAATACACTGCCATTATATCCTTAGAAGGAGCAAGAAGATCCCATACACCGTGTCCCAGGTACTGTGTCCAGACATAGACCACAGGGACCTCCTGCATGGCAGCTGAGCTGTCACTACCCTCAGTGCCACACCCCAGCACCTGCACCCACGCTATTACTCCTGCATCTCAAGCAGCTGGATCATCATCAGCCTCCACTCCCTCAATTCCCCTCAATAATTACCTCAGCACCCTGCAGCCACACCGCAATCCCTTCCCCGTCTCCAAAGCACACTAACAATCCCCTCTGCCCTCACCTAACCCCTCCTGCATGTCCCTTGCACCCATCCCTCACAACGCCCTTCACCACCAGACATCTCAGTGGATGAAGCTGGGCCACCCCTCGCTGTGTCCCGATCCTCCCTGTCCACAGCCACCAGACCCCACTGGTACTGTCGCTCCGTGCCCAAAGCCCCCTCATGCTGTTCCCCACCCCCTCTGAGCACCACAGAGTGCCCTACACGGCCATCTTTTGAAGTATCTCCCCTCACCCACCACACCCAAACTGGGCACCTGCACCCCGCGCCCTAAAATTCATCACGGCACCCCCCCCCGGCACCCAGTCACCCC